CGAAAAAACCGAAGATCCATTCCCCCCGTCCTCGCCCCAAATCGAAGCCGCCGCGAGGGATCTCCGCTCCAAGCCCTCTTTGATTCCCCTCTGAGCCGCTCTCAAATCTGCAGCGAGTTCTCCGCCGCGAGTCCCCTCTGAGCCGCCGCCTTTTGAGAGCCTCCAGCCCCCCGTTCTGTGTGCGCCACCACCAGCCCCCCTTCCCTCCTTCTCATCTCTTCCGCGAGATCGAGCCGACCAAGCCGCCGTGAGTTCCATCTTGATCCCTCTCTCGAGCCGACCAAGCCGCAGCGAGATCTCCCCTCCCCCCGTCCTCCTCCCAAATCAACAACCCCGAGATCGAGCCGCCAACCCCAGCCCCGATTTCCCTGTCAGGTAAAATTTCAACTTATCCCTCTTAATCCCTCTCTAGATTGACCTAGTTAATTAAGAAAAAATCAACAAACATAGAGGAGGACGGTGATAAAACTGATTTCTGCTTGCTTATAGACTTTGTTTACTATTTTTAAAATTTCATTTGAGGTTAGGAGTTTCTTTTGGGTTTATCTGTGTGCTTGCAGGGGTTTAAAATTTCATTTGAGGTCAACTTTGTTTTTGAGGTTAGGAGTTTCTGCAGGGGTTTAAAATTTCAACTGATTTTTATTTGATATTTTCAACTAATTTAAATTATTAGATGCTCTTCATTAAATGAGAAACTAAGCAGTACAGCAAAACTTCCTGATTAGAACCTTTAACATACCGATGCAATTATGCCACATAAGCACATGAATAGAAAAGCAAAACTTCCTGATTAGAACCTTTAACATACCGATGCAATTATGCCACATAAGCACATGAATAGAAAATTTTGGAGTAGACCCCCGAGAACAGCAACAGTACGAACAACTCGAAGTTGAAGACTCAATGTTAAGAAATTAAGAGTCAAAATTTACCAGATGAACTACAAAGGTATATGTGGAAACAATGCTAAATTATAGCTTAAAAACAAATAGTTAACCTTTGTTGTAGAGAATTCCAGACCCAATGCAAAAAGAAGAAATATTACACCAAACTGTGCAACTGTTTCAACCTGCAAAAAAAAATTGGGAAAGAAAGACATGCTAAGGACAGGTAAGACACAGATAAAGCAGCTTATTGATTAAGAGATAAAAGCTTGACAATGAAGCTGTTTTAACTGAATAAAGCAACACAGGTAAGGCACATCGGAATTTTTTTTTGTTTAAGATATAGCAACTGGATACGATAAAGCAGCAAGCTTCCGCATTCTAAATAAATATGTTATGAAATATCAAGTTACCTATGAATTCTTAAAAGAGATTTCTGAATTTCTGATCTATAAGATGATAATGTAAGGAGCACATAACCATGCTACAGATGCTGAAAATTTAATAATAAAAGCACCTTACTTGCACCATTTCACTGACAAAGTTCAAACCTCCAGGTCCGATGAGGGAGCCCGCAAGTAAATATCCAGTGATCACCTGAAACAGACTCCAATTTCTCATAAGAGATAAAAGGTCTGAAATTCTGGACATGTTTGCTTTGAAGTGTTTGACTTAATAATGCAGTTTGCTTTGAAGAATGTGGTCTAATTTCTCATGCTATATGTATCTGAGTGTGTTTTTAGAGGATCACGTTGATATTCAATAGTTATGTTCAACAGTTATGTTCAATAGTTATGTTCAACAGTTATGTTCAACACTTTGAAGAATGTGGTCTAATCTGTAGCACTGGAAACATGTTTGACTTCAATAGTTATGTTCAACACGTTGATATTTAGAGGATCACAAGTGAGCTTTTGTATCTGAGTGTGTTTTTATTATTTTGCTAATTATTATTTTTCAATTTCTATGAATATGCAAACTTTTGTATCTGAAACCGTGGATCATGGAGTCATCTTCAAGTAATCGTCATGTACTGTTGTGTCATTGTGGAAGGAGGGCTATACTCTCCAGATCTGGAACTAAGACGAACCCTGGTCGATTGTTTTTTGGATACGCTAATTGGAAAGTAAGTAATTGTGGATTCTTCAAATGGGTATCTGATGAAGAGGAGTTTGAAGGTTCAAACGCAGAGCTTGTTTAGATGAAGCAGTGGAGCGCGACACCGCAAGTTTCAAGAGCCGTGTCAAGTGGAGAAGTGCAGGAAAAGAGAAAGATTGAGATTGATATTATGGATTTGTTGAAGCTTATTATATTTGCTCTTTTAGTTGGTATTTTTATTGGATTAATTGTGCTAAGTAGGGTATGAGAACGTATTATTGGATTTGTAAATAATAATGTTAGCAGTATGTAAGAGTGATATTTCATTTTGCTTACTAATGTAAGAGTGATTTGGCCATGGTGGAGAATCACAATAAGGACTTTATGCTCAAGAAGCTTCAAATTCTTACCACTACTTTTGATATGTCCTAATTATCTGAATTACTGTCTTGATACTTTGTGCTTGCCTTTCAGTTACATCCCACATTATTAAGTTGTTAGGCTTCAGTTTTAACAACAAGTCTTTGTACAAACACCACGTGTTGAGATGAAAGAGAAATAACAAGGAAAAAAAGAGCTGATTCGAGTGGAATTCTAAACAGATTTCGAAATACATTACACTCTTTGGACTAAAACGTTTTACAATAATCATCCATTGACATAACTAGATAGAGCATGTCCATGTCTTAACTTGACCAGTAGTTCTAATAAGACTCTTCAGTGATTAATTATGTATGCCAAAGGTTTTAAATTCTCTAACGAAGATCATCAAAAGAAGTTAATAAGACAAAGAATTTTTGGAGCAACTAGAGATATTATAGACAAAGAGCTCATGGTGCGATCTTTTGAGCTGTTGATATCATAAGCCTTTGCCCAAGCTTTCATCTGCCGAAAATGCATGAAACGAAATCAAATGGCCAAAATATATGACAGCTGACTTATAAAACCAGTTCTTTGATCAAATGCAGGCACAGTTCAAGAACTTATCAGCTCATAAGCCTTTGCCCAAGCTTTCATCTGCAGAAAATGCATGAAACGAAATCAAATGGCCAAAATATATGACAGCTGACTTATAAACCAGTTCTTTGATCAAATACAGGCACAGTTCAAATGTAGCTAAGATTGCCTGAATACATCAGCACAAATGTAGCAAATGATAAACACATATGCAGCACAAATGTATCGACCATAATATAATACATCCAATAACTCTCACAAATTAGAGACATTTTCTTGTTTCAAAATAGAAATAGTTACAACAAAACTCATTGTTGATACATTCAGACTTCATGCTTGGATTTTTTTCAAATTGCCACAATTGCTCGAACCACCCACGTGCATGTGAAAGCTAAACTGCCACCTGAAATGATTCATAAAGTCTGGTTACACAGGAGTAGAAAATAAATAAAAGATAATTAGATTGTTCTATGTTATATGTTGACTCATGCATGGAACCAATTATTATATGCTTGAAAGCGAAACAGAAAATGGAAGCAATTTAGGAAATTTAACAAAGCTAAATTGCTACAATATGCCCCTCTTAATAAGTTGTGATATCTAAGCGGAGGGTAATGCTATATATTATCTCGGAAAACTAAATTGAACATTAATGCGGCTACCATATGACCGTCGCAAAAAGGGAACAAATTCCGACATACTTACATGAACAAATCCATGCATGTGGAGCTCAAGAATCCATACATATTTTCGTTTAGCTGCAAATCATATGACAAATTAATCATATAATTGTACCAAGGCAAAAATTATGTGTTATGAACTTTCATGAAAAAATATAAACTTCATGGTTCTCGAGTTGGTGCATTCCAATTGCATCCATAGATTTAGTTGCAAGTACAAAACAGGCCTGGACTGTATAACATGTAGGTTTCAGAAATCAAACACTCCAGAGGTTGCATTTATCATTTTGGAGGTAAAAAAATTAGTGCATCACCAAAAATTATTACATCACCAAAAATCACTTTAAATCCCTACAAACAGATCTTACACAGTGTAAGAAATAGATGTAAACAAGCAGGCTACACCCTTTATCGGTTGCATTTATCAACTAGATAGCATAATTAGGATACTCAACTAGATAGCATAAGAAATAGATCATGAACTGGCTGTCACTAATAATTCCCCAAAGTAGGATTAATATAATCAAACCCTTTCAAATCCACAATCATCACTTGCTAGACCATCACAAATAGAATTTCAACGCAATTAATTCAACAACAAATTCACAGCAGAAACTCCTAACCTCAAAAACAAAGTTGACCTCAAATGAAATTTTAAACCCCTGCAAGCACACAGATAAACCCAAAAGAAACTCCTAACCTCAAATGAAATTTTAAAAATAGTAAACAAAGTCTATAAGCAAGCAGAAACCAGTTTTATCACCGTCCTCCTCTATGTTTGTTGATTTTTTTCTTAATTAACTAGGTCAATCTAGAGAGGGATTAAGAGGGATAAGCTGAAATTTTACCTGACAGGGAAATCGGGGCTGGGGTTGGCGGCTCGATCTCGCGGTTGTTGATTTGGGAGGAGGACGGGGGGAGGGGAGATCTCGCGGCGGCTTGGTCGGCTCGAGAGAGGGATCAAGATGGAACTCACGGCGGCTTGGTCGGCTCGATCTCGCGGAAGAGATGAGAAGGAGGGAAGGGGGGCTGGTGGTGGCGCACACAGAACGGGGGGCTGGAGGCTCTCAAAAGGCGGCGGCTCAGAGGGGACTCGCGGCGGAGAACTCGCTGCAGATTTGAGAGCGGCTCAGAGGGGAATCAAAGAGGGCTTGGAGCGGAGATCCCTCGCGGCGGCTTCGATTTGGGGCGAGGACGGGGGGAATGGATCTTCGGTTTTTTCATGCTCAGATTTGAGAGAGATTTGGGGAGAAGATAGAGATTTGATGAGAGAGAGAGAGAAGGTCAGGGCGGAAGGGATAATGAAGGGGGTTTTTTCCGAAAAACCACCTGGCAGGCGCACGAAAACGGAGAGGCTGGGGGCAAGCTCATACACCAGTTTCATCTCCTCTCCTCTCTCTCGATCTCTCTCTATGATATATATATATATATATATATATCATATATAATTATATATATATATATATATATATACTAAATATATATATATATATACACCAAACACAACACACACACACCACACACACACACACCACACACAACCACATATATATATATAAATATTATATATATAGTATATATACTATATATATATAAGTACGCAAAACTATGTGTTAAACTTAAGTGGATAGCATAAAAAGTTTATCCAACAACTTTTTAGCCACCTCCATACATTGGCTAAGGGGATCCTTGCATGATATGAATATGTTTTTTATTATTAATGAAATGAGTGGATAGAAAGTTTGGTGGATATAACTTAAGTTGATAGGAAGTCTTACTATAATATGTAATATATATATATATAATCATATATATATATACATACTATATTATATATATATATTATAATCATTATATTATATATAATATATATATAAGTATATATATATATATATATATATAGTATATAATATAACTATATATAGTATCATATAGATATTAAGAGAATTAATTAATGGGTATCTCTTCGTCATAGGAAGGGGATTTTCTCTTTGACGCAACCGCACTACGTAGTAAGGGCACATCCCCACCAATCCCTATATAAGTACGAGAAGTGTGTGTGAGTTGTGGGAGATTTGTGCCTACTGTTCATTGAAGGATGGTGAGGATTGTGCCACATAGGGCGACAAGGAGGAAAAATCCCCTCATATGACAAGGATACCCATTAATCTCCTCTCCATCCTCACTCTCGATGCTCGAATGCATCACTCCTCTCCTTCTCTATATATATATATATATGATATATATATGATATATGATATATATATATATATGATATATATATATATATTATATATATATAGTATATATATATATATATATATTATATATATATATATATATATATGGTATGCTGGTACCAAAGCACCACAAAAAGTTATGCTGGTAGTGAAGGTGGCATAATCCCCTTCACCTCATTCAAATGATTGTAATATCCCGCATGCACTCCTCAAACAGCATGTGAACTGTGGTCCCCCATCTTGAAATGAGTGAGGGGATTATCCCACCTCACTGAACCAACGCATAAAATTTGTGCTTGATAGCCAAGCATACCCATATTCGCTCATATATATATATAACTATATATATATTATAATATACCTATATATATTATTACAGTATATATATATATATATATATATATATCATATACTACTATATGGGAAAATGTGAATCTAAAGGTGACACCCTAGGCTCGCGCAACCGTAAGGATCGCCGGCCTAAAATACACATTATTCTCTTAATATTTTTTACAGATCCGCTCCGTTGAATTTGATCTAGCAGCTTCTTAAACTCAAACACAACTAATTTTGGCGATGAACCCGTCAATCGTTGACCCTTGCATCATCCCCGCGTAAATTTTAACGGGATTTCGAATGAATAGTAGAACTTTTGGACGACTCAGGACGAATGATGCAAAACATGATGGGGTTCAACCCAAAAATTAGTGTGTTTGAGTTAAGAAGGCATGTAGATGCAAGTTAATCACGGAGCGGATCGTAAAAAAATCATTAGGGAAATGATGTGATGTTTAGGCCGCGTCCTTAGTGGGAGGGCTAGGGTCCACCCTTTCAAGATTCACTTTTCCGTTATTATATATATATATAGTATATATATATATATATCATATAATATATATCATATATATCTATAATTATATATATATAGTATAATATATAATATATATATATATATATATATATATATATATATGAGATTAATGACAGTAATCCTTGTCAATAGAGGGGATTATACCTCCTTGAACGCCTCTAAAATCAAGCATGATTGAGTGATATTATGGATGATCCGCTCCGTGAACTTGATCTACATATTTTAAAACCCTAACACACCAAGTGTAGGTGAATCCGTCGTCGTTTGACCCTCCATCGAGCATGTGAAAAGTTCTATTCATGTCAAAAACCGTTAAAGATTATAAATACGAGTGGATGAAGGGTCAAAAACGACGACGGGTTCACCAAAACCTTGGTGGTTGGGGTTTTAGAATCATGTAGATCAAGTTCAAGCGAACGCATAATCCACAATGTCGGCTCAATCATGTGAATTTTATTTTTTAGAGGCGTCAATGAGGAAATCCCGCTGCCTGATGACAAGGATACCTCATTAATATATCATTATATATAATATATATATATATATAATATATCATATATATATATATATAAATAACATGGGTATGCTTGGTAGTTGGAGTTGTCTCATTCCGCATCCACTTCATCTCATTCCCGAACCACGTTCCAAACCCATGTGAATGTGGGGCCTCAAAATTGGCAATGAGTCGAGGAAAATATGTCATCTCACTACAAGGCATACACCATTTTTCTCATATATATATATATAATATATATCATATATATATACTATATATACTATATACTATACTATATCATATATATATATATATATATATACACATCCAATTTTCCATGACGTGCTCATCTCCTTTGCAGATTTGAGATGGATATAAGGTAAATTTTATGTTTAATGGCCTTTAATAATAATTTTTATGATGAAATATATTACATTCATATTTAGGGATCATGAAATCAAATAATGCTATTATAGGCTTATCTTTGTCCGTGTCATAAAGAATTAATCTTTTTTCATAGACATGTTCCCAAATAAAGTCACACATAGAGCCATGCCACTCTATAGTAAAAAGAAAATAATATCGATTTTAATTTTTTTCTTAAGCTATGATAAGTAAGTATCATTTGTATATATTTTGTCCACTATAGTAATTTATCACCTTTTATCTGGCTTGTTAAGTAAGTATCATGTGTATACCTTTTGTTAATTTTATGCGCTCTTGTCTGGTTTGTTATATCTCGTAATATTGTTGATCAACAAGTTCACGTTAGTTGCTATTGCAAGATCATTTGAATGTAATTTTATAATAAGTTTATGATTCCTTCAGTATTTGAAAAATAAAATATGAAATTTTATAAGTACTTACTAATATTTCTTGTATCTTCTATGAAAAATACTTCTTTGATTGGAACAAAATTGTTTAATTATCTTCTTCAATAGAAAATCAATTAGTACTTCTTTGATAGATATGTGTCTTATTAATATCAATTCAAGAGATTCATGTTCACTTTTTTATTTAAAATGAAAACAACTAGATCTTTTTGAAGGATATCTCTGAACTTTTTAATAGTTTCTTCATACATAATTCATTGTATTTTTTTACCATGTGAATATTATTAACATCAAAGAATTTTTTTTTAAACCAATGAATATCATTAGCATCAGAGAATAATTGTTTATAAAATATAATCAATTAATGCTAAGCTATTATATTATAGTCTTTTATTATTTTTAAGTGATTTAGTTTTCTATCAATTAACACTACTTCTTTTTTGATACTCCAACTTATGAGTAAAACTATATACAGTTACTTTTATTTAGGCAATGATATTAAATTTTAATTTGTCAATATATTTTTTAAATTTCATTGTGTTTTTTTTGTACTTTTGATCTTTTGAGGGCATTTCTATGATTTTAAAACTTTGAGGGTGCTAATTGTAAATTTTAAACTTTAGAGGGCTAATACTAACTTTATGTTTGTTGTTTTAATTTTAAAAAATTAGGATGTTTTGTGTAATTTCGAATTATTGAGGGCATTTTGTGCAATTTTGAAAGTTTTTAGTTTGTTGACGATAATTCATGTATTATAGTATGTTAGCTACTTATTATTTCTTTACTTTTTTGTTATCATTTAAACTCATTGGTGTTCAGATGGTATTGTTTTTCTATATCATCTTTAAGGTTTAATTGATGAGGCAAAGAGCTTTTTACTATGGGGAAGGAGTGATCTATATTCAAGCTTGATGGTGATCCCTAGAATTCATCTATATTGTTCGCAAGTTTTGAGGGTTTTTTATAATTTAAACTTTTAAGGGTGTTTTTACAATTTTTAAAATATTAAGAGTTTTAATTGCAAATTAAAAATTCTTTGGAGGATGATGTTAAATTTTAGATTTCATGTTTGTTATTTTAAGTTTTGCTATGTGAGGGTGTTTTGTGTAATTTTGAACATCTGAGAGTTCTTTGTGCAATTTTTGAAACTTTTTGGGTTCTTTGTTATAGTTGTAATATTCCATGTAATTTATTAATCTTTTTTTAATTGTTGAACTATAGGTAATTTCATGTGGAATTATGATAGAATATAATTATGATTATAATAAATTAAGATTTAAATAAAATATTTAAAAAAATGAATGATAATATTGACCAATGAAAGCTACTTCTATAAGAAGGATAATTTATGAATTGAACTGTATAAAACATATGTATATCTTTCCTAGAAAAGATGGCCCATGGGCTGAGTCTATTCAATGACATGTTTTAATTTGTTTGGCCGACGTACAAACATGAACTTGTTATGTTTTATCACTGAACTTAAAATTCAAGCAAGTAGCAATTAACTTTCTTATTCTCTACAAAATCCTAACCAGGTGAACAATGATAATTAAATTATTTCATCGGGAAAAATAAGATGAATGTTAAGCATGTGGCCGAATGATTCATACACACATCTATAGGTTAGATAATTTTGTAATTTAAAATTATTCATTTATTTTTCAGTTTATATTAAATATAATAAACGAAAGTTTTACATGGGCACTGTTAGGATAATCTAGTGCCCCCCCACCCCACCCACCCACCAAAAAAAAAAACTACCTCCCTCTTGCCCTCCCCATCAGCGTTTACATGATACCATAAAATTCAAATCAAATCGTTTGCATTTACATGTTTGCATGATTATCACATCGCTTTGTTAGTACTGAGGGTCCTGTCATCATTGTAAAAACTATGGGGATTAATACAACCAAATAATTGGGAGCCAAACAACTTTCATCACCCCCATCTATAAAGCTCTCAATCCTAGATATATCTTCTCTTATGCTCAAGTCTTTCATATGAGATTAGTACCTATTAATTATTGACTTGAGTGTCAAATAGTCTTTTGACGAGATCAAATCCATACCAGCACTCTTTTTGTAAAAATAGAATGTTCGATCGTCGGAGCAATAGTTGTCTGCATTTCGAGAGGGCTTGACTTCTCAACATTTATCATCACCATTGTCTTCATTATTATCGTTATCAAAGTTATGAACAGGGGCGGAGCCAGGACACAGAAGATAGTGGGGCAATAAATTATTGATCAATAAAATTTAAATACACTAAAATAAATTTATTAATACATTAATTCCAACATAAACAAAGATTATTTTCTAATTGTTCTTGACAAGATTTTATCTTATGTGATTTTTTTCTAATGGAACCTTATGCAAAATATTTAGAATATATAAAGTCTAAGATATTTTACCTTATTTTCACCGAGATCATCCTAGTTCTCTTCTAATCACATCGTCTTTTTCCCTTTTTAATTTTTCTCTTAGGTGATGGGAAAGTGATAGGAATTTTATTAGAGAGAGTTAGCATAAGAGGTATGTTGAATTAATGGATATTGGATGTTAACTAAATGGGCCTTATTAAAAGTCTATTGCAATAATAAAAACTCAATTATAAATAATATGATCCTCTATTTAAATACATATCATGATAATAATACGCATAAATTATTTAAAACTATAGATGGACTATAAAGGAATTAAATTGTAAATCAATTATAATAGCCATGTACTAGACATCAAGTGGGGGCAATTATTGTCCTAGGACTCAATGATAAATGCCATACATATGAGCAGTATATTGCAAAATGAAATTTGACTGGGCATATTTGCCCACACTGCGGAACATGCGGCTCCGCGACTAATTATGAACATATTCAAGTTTTGCTGCTAAAATTTTGTCATGTTATCTCACAGTTGCATGACCACCAATTTTTCATTTCTTATGTTAGCAAATATCATACGAAAACTTTATAATATACTATATTGGTTAATATATCAGAGATAATGTCATAAACTAAACTTTTCCATTTTGAAACAGTAAAAAATAAGATGAATAGTTGAAACTAATTTAGTAGTATGCATACGATTTAGATCATGTTCATCTTAGAATTTTAGAATCATTTATTTTTCAGTTTTACGTCATTAATGTAATAAATTAAATATTTGAATAGGAACATATGTATATATTATAGTAGTATGCATACGATTTAGATCATGTTCATCTTAGAATTTTAGAATCATTTATTTTTCAGTTTTACGTCATTAATGTAATAAATTAAATATTTGAATAGGAACATATGTATATATTATAGTACTAAAGAAAATATTTCAGAAAAGCACTCATATTCCTTTCTGTTTCGAAACGTAAAAGAAAAAATAGAAACAGAAGAGAGTCGAAGAGACCCAAAAAAAAAAAAAAAAAAAAAATCCCAGCTCACAAGCTCTGAACAAAAGAAAAGAATCCAGAAGCCAGAGCTCGGTCGCTCTCTCTCTCTCTCTCTTCTCGTCAGGCTTCCATTCCCAAATCCAGAAGCCAAAGGTGAGTTTTTTAGGGTTTCTCTTTTCGATTTCATCGTCAATTTCTCCTGTATATCGCTAGATCTGTTCAAGCTTTGTTTCGATCTGTAGATCTGCTGCTCCATAGTTTTGATTTGAATTTCGAGTTAGATTTCTTTTGAGATTTATGCTGGATTCACATTCAACCGAATTCCTAATTGAATAAGCTGTTGGTGAGACTAACGAAAAAGACTTGCATTCTTTGTTCTTCTTCAATGTTTTGGATTGGGTTTGTTGCGAGGATATTTTGGTTCTGGGTACTAAATTGGGCTTTACTGTTAGGGAGAGTTCTTAAAATTTTGGCTGATTATTTCTTCTGGGTCGATTAGCACAAGAGTTGCTGTTGGCAATCTTGCTGTGTTCAAGTAATTCAGGCAAACTTTTTACTGTCCTTTTGTTTTCTTTGCTAAGTTGAAGAATGATCAATCATTGACAATCACTAGGTTGATTACTTCCAAAAACATAATGGATAGACACAACAGTGCTCTAAATGTTGGATGTTGGGGGACATGTTAGACAGAAAATTTTCATATCAGATGGTGGATACCAGGGACGTTTAGTAAACATCGGAGTGTCGTAATGGATAATGTATATACATATTATAGATGGACGTAATTGATGCGGTGGAAAAAATTGACGCGTGAAGAAAGTTGCCATCTTTTTTCATATTTAAATCGTGAAATTATCAAAAAGCTTACTAATAATTTGAAGTGTATAGTTCTAAGACTAAACTTATTCGGAGGGGAAGAGGAAGGGATTTGGGTGCTCTATAGGGAAGTGAGGAGGGAGCGGGGGAGGGAGTTTAACGGAAAACACTAACAGAGACCTATTGGTGTAACTTAAAAAAAAATTGAGGCTATTTGATGCCTTCTTAGCTTTGATTAGAGGACCGTTATGGATCAACTATAATTGTATTGCTCAATGCCTTGTTAGCTTTGCTTTGAGTCTTATTATAGGTCAGTCATAATTGTATCCCTTGATTCTCTTTTAACTGTGATTTGTGTATTCTTATAGGTCACTCATAATTGTATTTGGATTACTTTGGTTCTTTATCAAGTTCGGTTGGAGTTGCTCTATCAGCTGAAAGTGTACCAAGATTTAATGAAAATTGCCATGTGTTTTTCCACACTTAACTATGTTAAATCTGTCATATATTGTATGTGGGATGAACACTAGTTATGGAACATAACTACATACGAACATAGCATGAAAAACTACAATAACAAGGAAAAGACATCTTGTAGTGAAATGGAAAACGAGAGGAGAACGATTTAGTCTAAGGGAAATCACGATGATCATAATGACAAAATTGGCATGAGAAATGTAATACTCAATTTCTTTCTTTCTCATCATTTATCAAATTTATCCAGTTGGGAAAATCAATGTCCTCGAACTTTGAACATAAAATAATTATATAATCAAGCAGCTTACCTTATGCAACAATAACAAAGCATTTATCCGAACTTTTTGGGTTGGCTAAATGAATCCTATTATTTCATTCCATTTTTGTTATGAGCTTCCCGCTAAGTTATTTTAGGTCTACATCTAGTCTTTCAACAGTAGTTGTTAATGCATTTAGTGGCCTCCACTTTACATGATCAAATTATCTTAATTGATTCTTTCTCATTTTTTTCTCAATAGGAGCAATCTTTAATCTCCTATTAATGCACTCATTTCTTTACCTAGCCTTTTGTGTAGATCCACAAGGTCATCGTAAATTTGCAATATTCTCATTTTGCTACACTCAATTTTTTGCACATGTTGTCTTTTAATTGCCCGACTTTACGATTCATAAAGTATTGTTGGTTTTATAACTACTCTACATTTTCCTTCAATATCATTAGCACTTTCTGGTAAATAAGCCAGAAGCACTCTAAAAGCAACTTAGCTCATGCTTGTAAAATAATGCGAAAAGACAAATTAAAGCATTGAAGCCTACCTATTGAAAATGGGGATTATTCTTAAAAAAAAAGAGGCATTGCGCCATTATGAACTATGTTTTGCTAATCCTGAGCAGTTAGTCATATCTTGTTCTATAACACTTTTTTAAGCTTGCTGATGGCATGTTTTGCACTTGATCTTATCCTTGTTAATGGCATCAACTTATCTGCATCACTAAAGTTAAGGGTTCAAAATTCTTAATATAAAAGAACATTATGGTCTGCTATTTGGCCATGCTATACATGGCTCATTCCTAAACGAAGTTGCAAAACAAACTTAGTTTCTGTACCAGCTTATAACAATAATACTAGTTCTCAGTTCAGATACACGGGTACTATCTTTTTCCAGACCCCTTTACCTGGATACTAGGATCAATTGATACGGGTGTCCATGTATAGACAAATTCACTATTACATCAACTTTTTTGTTTTCTTTATCTTTGTATTCTTGTATTCATAATGTGAAAATTTTCACTTCAAGACTGAGTAGTTGGCAATCTTACTTGTAAAAGGGCTAAAGGCCCAAAAGTATTGTACAGTACTTAAGCATGCCAATGTCTGTTGGATCTATGTGGGATAAAGTTAGCTAGTGCATCCAGCCCAGGCCCAGCAATCCCATGTTCATTGGTAGGCTGCTCTGGTCAGGCTCAAACCTGAAGTAAGGTTCCTTTGAATTAGGTTACCTGAAGTAAGGTTCCTTTGAATTAGGTTTACTTTTGGAGTGTGAGCAAAGTTCTGTCGCTCAAGGAAATTAAATCTTCTTGAGCAAAGATCTGATAAGAGAGGAAGTGAGGGTGGAGACATGATATGCTCTTGTACCCCCATCGAATTGACAAGTCTAACACTGTGAGTTCAAACATTGCAGATAATACAGGCAGTAGAGCATAGGCGGTACCAAAGTGGGGTCAGGTGACCCCACTTTGGTCAAGGAGGACCAAGAACCCCTATAAGTTTGGGGGTTTCTCAAATAACTCCCTTAACTTTTAACATGTCACAAAGTCCCTCTTTAACTTTTGAAATTCTCAGTAAACCTCCTTTAGCTTCGGATTTTTTTTAACCTTAAAGGTTAAAAAAGAAACCCCTACAGGTTCACAATTTCGTGAGCAAAGTTATCTCCTTGCTTAATTTTATCCACCCACGTGAAAATTGCAGTTTAACACCGTTGAGGATTTTTTTGTGAAAGATGTTGAAAGTTGAAGGGAATTTTCAGAGAACCTCAAAATTTAAGGAGGATTTTGTGTTTGTGTAATTTGAAAGTTAAGGGGGTTATTCGAGAAATGCCCAAACTCAAGTTCATAACCAGAGAACTCATTACTAGTGATATATATTTTAAAAAATATATTTGATAGTGTTACTACTGATGCAATTATTTTTTTTTAAATATGAAAACTGATGGGATCAATTGTCTCAGTTTTTTAATTGCTAATTATGTAGTGACAACTTTCTAAAAATTCTGGATCCGCCACTGTAGTAGAGGGAACATCTCACACAAAGCCTGCCATCCTTTTGTTGACAAGTTCAGTTCCATTTTGGTCACTTGCTGCAGATGATAACATAAGGATAGAGAAATTAGCCAATACAACTGTGCACATGAATTCATTTAGGAACACTAACTTTTGCTTTTATTGGAGCGGTAATTGATTTGTTCTGTTGCAATAATTTTTAAATGGTCATCTTTTGTGTGAAAATAAGTATATAAATGAATTTGCACTGGTTTAATCTATCCTTCGAGTCTTTTTTGCTTCATGCAGACAGAGCCAGGTTGATTCCTTGGATTCTCAAGATTTTTTAGCTTTCAATTGAGAGTAGCTGAAGACGATAACCGTGTATTTTAGTGAAAAGGCTTTATTGGTAACTAGTTGTCTTAATTTTTATAAAAAATATCATCAGTTCATATTAGTTGCAAATGGCCCTTTTTATGCTTCTAGTCTATCTCTTATTTGTGAAGTATTCCAGACAAGTAGAAGTATCAATGGGGACCACTGACTGAGGCTTTTTGAGATGTTGTGTTTCAAGTTTTACTAATATCAATCATTTTAGTAAGATTTGCTGTTATTTAAGTGTTCATCTACTACTGTTGATTTATATTGTTGGTAGATGCTTTTTCTGCCTCTTTTGTACTTCAAAAATCCATTTATTTAGTAAAACCAAAGTAGAGGTTACGTCAGTAATTCTCAAATGTTGCTCTTGATGGAAGTAGCTCAGTTGCTAGCTTCACATTGTGCTTTCAATTTCAAGGTGGATACCAAAATTAATTAGCTCTATTATTCAGAATTAAGTTTCATCTAACCTCTTGTGTCTGCTTATTTACTCCTGACCTCTGTCCTTGTTTATATTTTAGAAGTGTTAGCTATGCTTTTCTAGAGAGAGCTGGACGAGGAGGAGCTATTAAGAGGGCCTAAGGATGGCATTTGATGGTGAAGAAGAACAGAGCCAGGATTATCTTTTTAAAATTGTTATGATTGGTGATTCTGCTGTGGGAAAATCAAATCTACTTGCTAGATTTGCTCGGGATGAATTCTATCCAAATTCTAAGTCCACTATAGGAGTTGAGTTTCAAACTCAGAAGATGGTCATTGATGGGAAGGAGATCAAAGCTCAGATATGGGATACTGCAGGTCAGGAGCGCTTCAGAGCCGTGACATCAGCGTATTACCGAGGCGCTGTTGGAGCTCTCCTTGTTTATGACATCAGCAGACGACAGACCTTTGAGAGCGTAAGCCGATGGCTTAATGAATTGCACAGTAAGTTTATATGTTAAAGCCTGTTCGTACATTTCTCATGCTACTGGTAAGTTTTGTGGGTTAATAGTGGATAGACCCCCCGTACTATCATCTAATTGATGATAGATCCCTGTGATGCTATTGGTGCGGATAGACCTCCGGAGTTAACTCTTTTTACTCTTTTATAAAGTCAAATAACATTCACTCAGGGAGTCTATCCAGTATCCACATTTGGGCAAATAGTATAGGGGGTCTATCTGCATGCACCAATTGAACTACAGGGAATCTATCCACAACTGGTTGATAGTACAGAGGCTCTACCCGCAACTAGCCCATTTAATTTTAAAGCAAATGTGATGCATAATTTTTATTGCTGTTTCGGAGTAGTTTCTCTGTGGTTGATCAATTCATTAAAGAAATGAAAAGTAGGTATAGGATGTTCCTGATGAGCTCATCGATGAGTGCCTTTGAAATGATCAAGATGTGTCCCTATTTTGTGGAACAATCCAAATCAAGAACTATCTCTGCATATGCCATACATATTTATCCATGTACACATGCATGTATCTGAATTGGTCACACAACAATCATCTATGAATTTGGAATTAGTATACGCTGCTTATTGCTAGTTGTTCTTTCCTCATTTCATTTATTTTTATTTTTTTCCTGTCAGTTTCACTTCCCCTTTGTAGAGGTTTGTAAGGATCACATATACTATTTTTCCTGCGAGTTAATATTAGAATTACTTGAGCGCTGATTACCAATGAATATGGAATTTGATTTTGCATGCCTCTTCATCTTATGTTGTAAACATGCATGCGCCTGAATTGATCACAAAACAGTTATTAGTATCATGCTGCTTATTCTTAGGTCTGGTTCGGTATTTTACTTAAATAAGGTTGTTGAATTGTGACCTGGATGTCATGGGTTCAAATCCTTGAAATAGTCTCTTCGCATGCGGGGGTAAGGCTGTGTACATCTGACCCTCCCCAGAGCCCACAATGGTGGGAGCCTCGTGCATTGGGCTACCCTTTTTGTGCGCGTTGGAGGGGGGGGGGGGTTGCAGCAAAGTTACCATAAACCTTTTTTATGAGAGAAACCTTTATGAACTTTTTCAAAACTGTAGAAAATACCATGAACTATTTGCAATTGTCACTAACAGAAGGTCTTGAATAAAAGGTCTATATTATCCTTATTTAAATCTACCAACGCGTAAAGGTCATAAGGTAATATTATGTAAAATATATAAAGTACAGAAGAGAAAATTGTCCCAAACAAGTACGATGCACGAGTTCATGATAATTTTCTCTAATAAAAATGTTTATGGTTGTTTTGTGCTAACACCCCAAAGTTTATGCAGTTTTGTGAAATTCACCCTTAATTCTTTCAGGTTTGAAGTCAGCTTGGCAGCTATGGCCTTCTTAATTAATTACTTCATGTAGCTTGCTTGACTTCGAGACATACTCCATATAGGACCCAATTTTGATTAGGAGATGGGATCAGAACAATGATATCAAACGCATGAAATATGGCAATTGCCAATTTAAACTATGAAATTTTGATGAGTTAATTGCTAATAGATACTATGTACTATCACTCAATTGTGGCTCTGTAGTTTTATTATTGCAGATAGAACACTAAGTGTCCTTTTTTTTTTGATGACTCCTGAGGGAAAACGAGTCAAAAAAATCACGCAGGGGTCAACCACAATTGTGCAATAGTATATGGGGTCTATTCGCAACAATTGGGTGATAGTACAGGGGTTTAGCCGCATTTAACCCAATTTTGATTGTAAGTGCAGGATAAAGTTTCTCTACAGAAGTACTCATGATAAACTCTTGTTTACTATTTAACCTTCCTCTTCATATTCTATAACAGCTCATTCCGACATGAATGTGGTGACAATTCTCGTGGGTAACAAGACAGATCTTGCAAATGATAGAGAGGTGACCACTGCTGAGGGCAAGGCTTTGGCCGAGGCCCAAGGCCTCTTTTTCATGGAGACCTCCGCTCTCGACTCCTACAATGTCAGAGCTGCCTTTCAAACTGTTGTAAAAGAGATTTACGACATATTGAGCAGAAAAGTCTTCCTGTCTCAAGAAGTCAAGAAGAACGAGTCATCTTTGGGGAGCGGTAGAGCAGTAATTTTACAGGATGATTCGAATGATGCAACTAAGAAATCTGGGTGTTGTTCTTCATAGGACCATCATTGTACACTTCTTTTCTTTTTTTTTTTAAAATTTATTTCTCAATTCTCTTGATTGCATAGTCTTTTTTTTTCATGCTTTTGTAAAGAAAACTTATGAGCAAAATATCTATCATCGATAAGCCCTGGCTGCACGTTTCGTCATTGGTTCTGTATTGGACGAGGGTCTTTGGCTGTGTTTATGTAAGTAACAGCAGTGATTTAGTAATTGTTTATCTTATATTTTTTCCCTTGAATACATAAATTATTCTATGGTTCTTGTAATGGTCTCTGAAAGCTAATTAGTTCATAAGTTTCATGGATCCTGAAGGAAAGAGTCAACGATCACTGATAACATTGCTTTAACCCTGTTTAAATGGCATGTGTTTCCAGAGTTAATTGCGGCCCCTTGCATTGTCGACCAAATTGCAGATAGGCTCCCTGTACTTCTATTGTTGCAGATAGAACCCCTGATAATCAACTCCTTCAGTTTTCCCATTTAAATTAGTTATATTAATGATCATCATGCAAGTTTGTCATAAGTAGATCAGTTTATGAAGCTCAGTATTTAACGTGGGACTAACAGGGTCTATGACTCTATCTGCAGCATTAGGAGTACGAGGGTCTATCAGCAAATTTAAGGGATTTGTTAACACTGTAGGAGTTTTTTTTTTTAATGTCTTATACCTTTTAATTTAGAAGAAAAATTAACAATGGACATTGGGTTAGAGACAGTTTTTTCTTCTTCTTTTTTTCTCCTTTTTTTATTTTTTTTATTTTTTATTTTTATTTTTAAATTCCATTGAGAATAAGACTTGAGCTTGCTTATAATTAGTTACCCATAGTATGACCAAAATGGCTGTAAGACGAAAGAATCCAACTTCGCATTGTAAAGAAAATTTGATGCCTACCTACATACCTTAATTAGATTATTACATCAGGGTACACGAGGACGACGAAAGAGAGTGGTTTATATAGAATATGACGTGTAGGAAGAGTCAAACGAATGAAAACAGAAATCATCATGCAAATGATTGGCTGTGCGCCTCCAAATCTTCCAAGTTTATGCTCTCTCTGGATTCAGAGACGGCCCTTTTCGCCAAATCTAGCACCGAGCAATCCAGGTAAGCTTCACCTATATATTTTTCTAGTGAAGTGTAGGGTCTTTACTTGCTGAAGACGCTGCCAAAAGCTGATGATGAAAGCCATCAAACCCTGCTCCAACTATGCTGTTGATAGAGAATATTTAGTTTTCAGTTTGTGGAAAGATGAAGACAAGCACACCGAGCCCTCAATTTTATTTAGGCTTAATTGCAGATACCCCCCCTTTGTACTCTAGGAGTTTCCGCTTGGTACCCTAAACTTTTAGCCGCTTTGATTCTCTGATCCCAAAAACAAAAGTTATCTCTATGTTAGTGTTGCAGAGAGACCCTTATTTTCTTATCAGTGTTGATATTAATATCGAATAATTGGATAAAAGGGGAAAAGAAATGTGAAGTTCAGGGTGCATCTGCAATTAACCCCTGCGTGCATGCCTCTCATCTATATGTACATACATGCGTTGGTAAACGATATCAAAGTGTGGAGACACCCTACGGAGATGGAGAGAAATGTGACGGTTAAGAGAAAGGGATGCATCAAGCTCACCAAAGGAGATTGGGTAGTGAGAAGGAAAGGCAAAGGTGGTGTAATATCGATATCGAGGCGTCGACCGTCGGACAGGGAAAGGGAGGCCAACAGGCTCCGGGAGCAGCGTCGCCGGAGGATCGCCAACAAAATTTACTCCGGGCTCCGTGCGCAAGGAGGGTTTCGCCTCCCGAAGCACCCGGACCGAAATGACATCCTCATTGCTCTATGTGAGCAGGCAGGGTATCAGGTTGAAGAAGATGGCTCTGTCTCTCGCAAGGTACGGACATATGTCCTTCATTTTCTGTTCATATTTTTTTAGGGTTAATTGAACATAGCCCCCCTGTGGTACTGTTGTTTTGAACTTACTGAACCCTGTAATTTTATTGTCGCAGATAGATCCCGGCTTAAGTTTTTATTAGCACTTTTACCCTGAGATAGGTTCACTAATTTCATTCAGGGAAATGTCCGCTAAATTTAACCCAGGGTTCTATCTGGAACAACGAAACTACAGGAGTTGTAAGTTCCAAAAAGCAATGCTGCAGGGTCTATGTGCAATTAACCCTATTTTTATGGTCTTATAGAGATCTCAAAGACGCAGCTTTTCTTTTTCTGGGAACAGAAGTTGAACTCCTTTGAAGAAACAAGCGAGAATGGAGACAAGAGAAGCTTGAAGGAGGCTTCACTGAGCTATGAGATAGAAGTGCAACCAGAGTTGGAAGAAGAGCAGCTTTCACTTGATTTAACTCTATCATATAAATATATGTAAGAGATAAATAAGATGAAAGTTCCTCATTTCTATAACATAGTTCAATGATAACTTGTTAGCTCTGAAGCAATTTGATATGTGCTCTGTACGAAACAATATGATCTTGACTTGAGTCAGTAATGAATTTGGAAAATTTAAGATAGTAATTGTGTGAATACTGTGTTTATTCAAAAACTCGAACGCTACACCTCATCAACAGAAAAATACGAAATACAACCATATTACTAGATGTAAGAAACATTTCCAAGAACAAATCAGGGAAATGTAACCTCACATAAGAAGCCATTACTCTTCATTTTTCTCCAAAGTATCATGTGTTGAAGTTTCGCTCACACCAGAGACGAGCTCTGCTTCAAATGACACTGAGGGTAGCCTCTCATAAACCCTAGAACCTAAAGGCAAAAGTTTCTTCTGCCCAACTCTCAAATTCTCGCTAAGTTTCTGATAGTTCCATCTCTGCTGAACATATACAATAGCAGCAAACACAATGGCAGTCACTGGAATAGCGATATCTCCAAACATTGAGTAGAAATCCAGGCTCGGGTTCACAAACTCATACTGTTCTGAGAAGTAAGGATTGAAATCTGGAGCTCTGATGTAATCATAAACATGTGGAAGAATTCTAACTATCGTGATTCCAAAATAATAGGCTTTTCGAAGAGGTTTACCGTCAATCTGCCATAAAAAGTTACCAATGATCTGAGGAAGGAGAAAAAAATCTTGAACAAGGCCAACATATTCCTCAAGTTGCATTCCCCATTCATGTAGTTTATGGCTATTTCCTCTTGAATCAATGTATGCTGCTGGCTTTATCGGTCTCTTAGAGGTATTAACACCGTGAACAATAATAACCACTGAAAACCCAATAAGATGAATAACAAAGCTAATGAGAAGTATTCTTTTATCATTTGGTACGCGCCATGGTTCTAATGGACTGCGAGTGAGTAATCTGATACGAGATTTCCATACTTTTTGGCCAAGCCTCAGTGTGAGAAGAAATGCAATTAGTACCATTATCTTTACAATATAGTCCACAACCTCAAACCACTGATTCTTCTCAAGCTCATAGGATGGAGTCTCATAAGGCTCAGATGAAATTCTTGCAAAGAGGGCCTCAGCTCCGGTGATCAACGGAATGCTGTAGCCTAGAGCTTGAACGCCAAGCATGACGAGAGATATAAAAGGGATTAAGCCCGTGTTTACTCTTACATAGAACAATTGGCTCAATATGCAAGCAATCACCAGTGACAATGTAAGAATACGAAGAAAACCCTCTACTCCCCTCCTAGAGAGTATATCTTCCCTCTGTTCCCTGTACAGAATTGGCAATGTCTGGAGCTTAATTTGGCTGAAATGGAGAGGATCATCCTCGGTCCTTCGGCTGGTGATCAATACCTTTGCTGTAGGATTCATGAGCCATCGTGCAGTTGTCGGTGGATACTCTATCTTCACTTCAATCAAACAATCAAGTCCATCTTCGAGATCCATGCTCTCAAAGAGAATTTTCCAAGAGGCCCGAACATCTCTGCAACCAATTAAATACATTCTTCCATCAACTGGATTATATAAGCCCTCAAGGTACAGAAGTGACACATTCTTGTAAGGCTCTCCAGAGAGTGTGAGCTCTGCCGACACATTGAGAAGTAGTTGCCTCTCGGTAGATGTATCCTTAGAAGGAGATTGAACAGATACGGGTGAAATTGATTCGTTGTGGTATGCCCAATAACGCCCAAATAATGAACCAAGAGAGAGTAATTCCAGCTGTAAAAATGGCTTCACCGTTCGTTCATTTGGTAATGGATCAGGAACTGCAGGAACATGAAGTGTGAGATCATCTGAGAGATTTGAGAGGTTGACTAATTCATCGCTATCTCCCCCCATCTTCGGATAACTAAGAAGAGATTTCTTGATGGTACTCGCGAAATCGAAGGGCTCACTCCTCTCTAGAAAAGCACCAGCAAGCTTTATCTTTGAGTACTTGTACGTACTAAGAGGTGAAATACCACCATACTTATTCCACAGTTGCATAGGATGCACTGACCTTTCGAATGACAAAGGGTAGTGTGATTCATTCAGCGTGTTGCTGATGTGTGAAATTTTTCCAAATATGATATTTCTTTGGTTTATAGAGAAGGATGATGGAATATATAAACATATTCGAGAGTTGCATTTTGCATCGCCGAGCCCAAGGCAACCAACCATACAAAGCTGGCCAGCTGAAGAAACCCATATTCCTTCTGCCGAAAGAGTCATATTGCTAAGCCCTGTTCTTTGTGATGCCAAGAACTGACTCTCCCATGGAGGAATGGCTCTGAACACAGCAGAAACCCTAGCGGAGCTTATATTTCTTGGTCCACTCCTCCTCGGTTCACACCTCATATCTTGCATAATCAGCCCAACATTAGCAAACCCTCCATCTGTTGCTTTAATCTCTCTCTCAGATGCAAAAGGCCCCAACTTGCTGCAATATTCATCGGTGGAATTACAGTTCCAGTTGGGCAAAACATTGAAGACTTCTCCAGTGACAAACTGTTCAAGAATGCCACACAATCCAACCCCTTTATAAATCTCAGACTGGGTATCACCATCAACGATATTGTCTCGATAAGGGTAAGGGCTACAAGCCTTTGCGACGATCTTTGCAGAACCAAACTCATAGTTTGTATATACACCCAATTGAGAAGAGAAATGGAGCTTATCGAAGAACTTGGTACTAGACCTCTCATTGAGACTACTCATCTCGCCACTCACGCCTCTAGTGGTAAGTGTGAAGGTCTTCGGGTAACGAATAACAAGCAAAATTTGATCATCTTGTGAAAGAGAAGGCTGGAAATTGTTCTTTCCCAATTCCTTCACCCACGGCCATGGATCTTTAGAATCCTCATCGCGAGAAGGGAGCATTGCGTTTCCAAGCAAACATAGAACTCTCTCACCACCATTTTCCTCAGATTCAACATAGACTCCCTCAAATAAAATTCTAAGCTCAGAGCTCCCAGGCCAAATTCGGAATTCAGGGAAGAGATAATGAACTAAATCGGGAGCGGTGCCATTCCTAGAAATCCCTAGACCTAATGAACCACTAACATTGATGGAAATTTGTGAATGGGGCATTACATCAACATGAGTGAGCTGAAAGCTCGAAAGGTAGATAGGGTTGGGATCACTGCCATTAAATGGCATCAAAGGAGCATCGCCAGAGTCTTGTCTCCAGTCTCCTTTGTCGAAGGAAAGCTCTGGTTTGAATGAAGTAATTCTATTAACATCAAACCTGATGTTGGATGCCGATGAAAGGATTGGTTTACAGGCTTTCTCCACCTCGGAGAATCGAGCATAGGTATGGATCATAGAAGGGTCTTCTTCTTCTTCTAGCGATGAAGAAATTGGCGTAGATTGGTACATTTGGTATGAGGATGTGAGTGTGAAGATCATGAACAAGCTAACTGCAGCAACGTTCAGAGCTACAGGAACGATCCCCATTGCTAAATATTGTATGAACAGTTGCAAAATTAGCAATTAGGGCTCAATAACAAGAATTGGGTTTTGTGGGGAACATGTAAACATGAGTAAAATTAGCAAGATCCCAGCTCATCACTCAAAATTTTGAGTACCTATCTGCTAAAGAAGTGAGAATGAACAAGACCCAGTTACAAAACAACTCAAAATTCCGTATATTGTAGATTTCAACAGAAATAGGAGCAACATTAGAGGAGTGCATAAATGAAGGGAGAATGGAAATGCTTACAGAAATTTTCCTGCTCCGAATTCACCTTTTTTGAGCGAAAGAAGAGGCTGAGATGAGAATCTCAATGTTTTGGTAGTAAGAACTTGAGATTGGGAGGCTGATAGAAAAAGTATGGAAGATCTCTCATCTATGGGTGCTTCTCTATTGACTTTGGAGTAGACTTTGACATTGTGGGAAAATGGGCAAAGAGTTGAGAAAATGCGAATGGTTGAGGGTGCCCCACTGATTTTTTGCGGGATTTACACGTAGCTCCAAGGACAATTTCTTCTTTAACCGATCAGCGATCAGAGAGTTTTTTTTTCTTTTACAGGTTTGGTTTCGGGTTTTAGTTGTTGGGCTTTTGGGTTTTGGGTCGGGTTGGGGAGTTGGTATTTATACCAACTCAACCCAGGAGAGATCTCCTCAGCCCCAAACGTAAACCCTAGCCCCCCTCTCTTCTTCCTCAAAACCCTAACCTGGTTTTGGTGATCTGGGAGCAGATTAGGAGATTTTCAGCGGGATCTGGGATTTCCAGCAAAGGGATCAACCTATTTCAGATCTAGGGCTTCCCTCAGCACCCAAGGCGAGTAATTTCTCGCCCAACCCCCACCCCTTTTGGTTTAAACATCAAGAACTGAGTTTTTTTATTGGATTTATGGAGCCAAATTCGTATCTTTGTTTAGCTAATAGTTTACTATAGCCTAGAATATGGGTTTGGGGCTTAATATGTTGTCAAAACTCACCCATGCCCTGTTAAAGAAGATCTAGATCTGAGTTTTTGCCTAAAAGAGTTTCAAACATCTTTACAGCTTTTAAAACGATTTGGATTTGTTTCTCATTGATTTAAGATCTTGAAAATATAGATTTCAAACTTTGGTTTTGGTTGTGTATTTTCAGTATGATCCCATTTTTTATCAAATACCCATGTTATCGAAATCTTTGGTTCCAGGTTTTAGCAGCTGACAGAACCCAGGTAGGGTTCTGTTCGCTCGGCGGTCGACCGACGCGGTCGACCGCTGAGCTCGAGTCAGGGCTTCGGTCGACCGCGTCATTTATTCGGTCGACCGCTATTTGATTTCGGTCGACCGCGTCATTTTTCGGTCGACCGCGATGTCTGGTCGGTCGACCGATATTCCTGGCGGTCGACCGTCCTGATTTGTATCAGAGTTCGGTCGACCGTATCGGTCGCCCGCCGACCCCTCTGTTGCAGATTTCCAGTTTTGCTGTATTTGGATATTTTCACTCCTATTTGGGGGTTTGTTTGGATTATCTGACCATGGTAATTGATCCCACTACGTGTCCATGCATGATAGGTGACCTGGGGTGTAAATTTGGGACTTATAAATTATTTTGGTTATGAGATAAATGAGCAAATTTCACTACATGAGAGAAAGCACTCTTTTATTGTTCCACAGTCCTCGTGTTGGACTATACATACTTGTGGCGGCCTTATGCAAATCCCTACAGTCCTCGTGTTGGACTATAATCCATAAGAAGTCCTCGTGTTGGACTATAATCCCTCTCAGTCCTCGTGTTGGACAACTGCCATTTATTCCATGAGTTTGGAAAACTACGATAGTTGGACCTTGCATCGGACATGGTTCTTCTTCCTGCGTGTGATTATTGTACCACATTTCACAACATACTGATTATGCAAATTTTGTACCACACTTATGAAGGTATTGACACAACATTTATGTAATAAATATTGTGATAGTTACGTTGACTATATCACCACACTGTAATTATGCTCTGGTGTTTGCTGTATTTCTTTTATTATTATTTCTGTACTAGAACCTCGGGTTTGGTGTTTAGAGATTTACAATTTGAGATACAAGGTATATACATGAGGGTTTCCTTGTTTGGATTATTTCGCTCGACGTACCTATGCTCGTGTTGTAAATTTCTAAATACTAAAACCCTCTTTAGTAGGATCAATGATTTTAGATCTATTATATATTATCTGTATTTTCATATACAACGAGCCCTGTCCCCTTGGGGTTGGTTGTGATGTTACTCGCTAGCGCTTTGACGCTCGTTGCCCCTCCCCCTTTCAGGTCACGAGCCAGGAGCACGGAGAGCCGCAGGTTGATAGCGGACCACATTAGTGTTCAGCTTTACTTTCTAGCTATGTATTATTTTCTTTGGTCTCCACTGTAGTGAGGTTAGACATTTGAGGGTATTATTCTAGAAGTTGTAAAGGCTGTGAGCCTTATTTCCTTATTGTCAGATATTTGTATTTGAGACTTATCAAGTATTTCAGTTTATCTACTCAGATCTTGACTATGTACTTCTATGTTGTTGGATGATGAGATATTTATGTGACTATTATCATTTCATCAGTATTCCTCGTAATGTCTTTTACCTGTTTTGTACCTACACCAGTTGTTGACTCTACTAGATAGATGTTAATTGTGATGGTGAAACATGTTATTGCACGGTGTGGTGCATAGCAGGTTTGACATCCTAGGTTTCACCTCGGACTGCAGCCTTGTGTGAACCCAGGGGCGTCACAGTTGGTATCAGAGCTCTAGTTCCAGTATCCTTAGGATCATCCTGTGTCGAGTCGTGGAGCTAGGATAGAGTTTCCTAGGATTCATGTATAGAGTCCGTAAGGATTTCCTAGTATGAGTGAGGACGATATATGCATATATCTCAAAATTTGAGAATTTTTTTTTGACAACTATTTTTGTATAAGTTTAAAGTATTTGTGCAAATACTATATGTTGTGAAAATTGTATTGTGATACGCTATTTATAGAAGTCTATTTTGACTCATAAACTCTTATTTTCTTACGAGCAGAGAGATGGCAGGATGTGGTAGACCTCGTACCAGGAGAGCTACCCAGGCAGAGTCACAGCAGACTCCATCCGAGCAGCAGCCAGCTCAGTCCGAGCCTCAGCAGGCACCACCCGAGCCGCAGCAGGCTCCTCAGTACTTGGTGGATCTTATGGCTCCTCTCATTGCCAGGATGACGGCCATTGAGGACTTGGTGACGACTCATATAGCACCACGAACACCACCACCACCGGTAGCACAGCAGCAGGGGATTCCTGCCGTTCCTGTCAGAGAGAGACCCCCAGAGGTCACGCCTACAGCCATTCCCCTAGCAGTTCCAGACAGGACCACCGAGCAGGAGACTTGGCTCCGTATGGTTGAGAGGTACCAGAAGATGAGAGCACCCGAGTTTCAGGGATCACCAGACCCTCTGGCAGCCCATAAGTGGAAGGAGGATGTGAGCAACATACTTAATATACTCGGTGTGGATTCAGTTCAGAAGCAGAGACTGGCATCCTACAGCCTGAAGGGAGATGCCGGGAGGTGGTACCGACTCCAGTTCACTCCAGAGCAGAGG